TCCTGCGACGTTGCTGAAACCAGTTGTATTGGCTCTTGCCTTTCCATTGGACCATTTCAGCAATGTGGAGGGGGGGGAATCTGCTGCTTGGGTAACAGCCTATCTTCCATATTACTTTACCCAGGCTTCATGCTCTGGAGAGGACACTCCTCGATTCAGAGCATGTTACCATAGTCTCTCAAGACTGAAGAATGCCTATGCTATAAAGTTCCCTTTAAGTAAGAAAGAATGGTACACTCTGCTCACATTATTAGGTACGCCTTGCTTTAGTCTCCTGCTCCCTCTTTCTGCTTTTCTTCCAATTTCTACTCCAAGACTGTGCTCGCTCACTCAACTGTACCATGCTCTATGTTGCTGGCCCAGTTTCCACCAACCACAGGCTATCTGCTGCCCCAATCTGCCTGCCAGGGCTACCCAAGGTATATCTCCACTCGCCAGTGCGACCTGGCACTTCCTGCTGGCTTTCCCAATGTTCAGAGTTTGATCAGTATGCCCGTTCTGCCATTTCCTAATATCTAGCCATTTCCTAATATCTAGGCATTGTCCATGTGAACTCTGTTTGGCACAATCACTGGGAAGGTTATCAGAGGACAGAGATAACTCTTTTTAAAATATTCACCTGTATTTGTTTTTTGTTAATGAGAAAATAATACCTCTAAAGTATTTGTATTGAGCGTAAGAGAGTTCCAGGTATCTGGAAATTCCAAATTTTTTAAATTCTGAATTCCGAATCCAAAGGGCTGTAATTCCAGATTCTGAATCTGAATTTCTGTGCCGGTGCACATCCGCCTCCTTAACCTTTTGTGGTGCGTGGCAGGAAACAACCTAGACCAATAGATCTCACATGTGCAATAAACTTTATGTGGGTTTATTTTTCCTCTACAGATGTATGTGCATAATGAGCTTTCCAAAATATCATTTTAGCATTTTCACTCTGTACTGCCAACATAGGGAACAGTCCCTGGAAGAAAAGTGGAAACAATGGAGTAGAATAATTCCAAGTTTGGCATCATTCTTTTGGGTGTTCAGATATTGCATCTTGCATGGGCTGCAGAATGACCTTTCCAGAGGGATTAATGGTGGCTAAACTTAGAGAAGGACAATGAGAATTTAACATGCACTGGATGTATCTCCAACAGTGGGAGAAAAGGAAGTCAGTGCAGGCACTCCCTATAGCTGGCAAGAAACAGACAGTGGGTTAGTGTTATACTGACCCATCGTCTCAGATGTGTGCCAAGAAACTCAGCCAAACGTAGTTTTGGAAAACAACAAAGAACTTCAAGGAGGGGGAGAAAGGGAGAAAGCAGAGAGGAAGGTGGAGGAGGGGGAAGAACACTGGCAGACACAGATGTTTTTCACATCTAGATGTATTTCAGACACAGAGGTAATAAAACATTCTTTGATTTAAAAAAACCAATAACAGAGATGAGCTGTCCAACACAGTAATTCTAAAATACTGTTATCACCCATCAAGCAAAGAATTCTTCTTCTTGATTCATTAAACTTTTCTTGATTCAACCAAACTTTTCTGTGAGCAGCTAACAAAAAGGCAGTGCAAAAAGAACAGCTTACCTTGGAAAATAAGTCAAAGCAACCCAGGCGGCTGATGACACAATATACTTCAGGTAGGCGTGGACCTTTTCCACTTGGCTGACAACAATAAGGGAAAAAAAGAGGGTCTGAATTGTATTTTAATGTTAAGCCATTTATTGACAATATTGTTTTCTGTCTGTTTCTTTTTTGGACAGGATTTTAATCATGAATCTTTTCTTCACCAAACTAGTCATTCTTAGGGAAACTTTTTCCCCTGCAAGACAGGAAACTTATATGAACAAGGAATGCTTATACGCTCCGGCTGTTACTCTGCAGTCTCCATCATCAGTCCAAGGTAATGCAATGAAACAAAAACCCCATTCATTTATTCAATTTTAATTTTTGCAACTCCCCTATGGCTTTTCTATGGTAGATGAAATGAAACCACCGAGGACATTTATGAGAAAGGGAAAAAAATAAGAGCTCAATCCACTGTGACTGTGGATCAGATTGTAGTTGATGTTGCTATCACAAATCTTCCTAAAGGAATCTGCATGTTGAGTCTGAATTTGTTCTGTTTCTTGGTCCATGGTGTAGCTTTTACACAAGAGAAAAACAACCAGGATGCAGGTAAATCAGCAGGACTGGCCCAAGAAAAGACGCCTGGACATTACTCTCACTGTTCTGCTCAATGTGTAGACATTTCTTTATTTTGAATGTAAAACAACACAGATTTGTTATCTGCCCTGTGAAGGATATAAAATTAAATTCAGCCATCCACCACTGTGTGCTAATAACGGCCATGATCCAAAAAGATGATATTGTAAATAGAACTGCTTCTATCAGAAGAAATGGTTATCCACCTTTACCACTCCAGCCCTCTGTGAACCCCCAAAACTGGTTCTGACCAATTTTGGGGGGTGCCACAGGATGTCTGGAAGGAAGGCAAGAAAGTTATATCACAATGACATAACATGACTCCATATCAAGAACAAAGACAATCTCTGAAATAACACGTCTGTGTACCTATGGATGAGGTGCATCTCTCAATTTCCACTTAAATTAAATTAAAAGAGATTTAAAAAAAAAACTAATAACACCACTATATGTTTCAAAATGTTTTTATCAGAGAATAGGTGATCAAATTGTTCAGCAGTTTGCACAGATCTCAAGGGAAACAGCCAATTAATGTTATAATCTGAGAACGAGTGGGATTGGTCAGCAGGTGTGTGTACTGCTGCAGTAAAAATTATGAATAAACCCTGCACTTAAATGGACACAGATGCATCTATTTCTGGATCAAGACCTGCTGCTCAGCAGATGTCACGTTTCTGAAAAAGCAGAATCCTTCTTTGTCCATATTAGGTATAAAAACGCCTTCTAAAAGCATCAAGTGATTATATCTAGCATGTGGGATTTGGGTTAAAATCATTGTGTCAAATCTCCAGGAATGCTGTAGCCACGCCAGGCGTCCTGGACAGCGACCAGCTAAGAGCTGTCTTGCTGAGTGCCAGTAAAAACACTGCATTCCTAGGTCATATATAATAGCAGGAACAATAACTGCTCACAGTTTAGTCAAAGGCTCTGGCCTTGTGAAATATTACTCTTGGGTTTTTTTTTAAGTCTTATAAGCTACAATGTCACTGAGTTTAAAAATAACAGTGAGCACTTTGATTTCCCAAATGTCTCTTGCTTCATGACCTCTCTTTCAAATCTGTCCATTTCCCAAAAGCAGTCACTCCACTTGCATTTAACCAACCCCATTGATAATAATGGAGCACCTCAAATCTGGAAAAGGGTTGCATCAGCTGAACTCTTGTTTCTGTCCACTCTGCTGCTTTGGGGTGCTGAAAAAACTTGGTCTTTCAGTTCACTTCCAAACCTGAGAATCTGCAAATGTCCCATACCCAGCAGCCGTCTCACAATTTCTCAGACCAGACTGCACATAAACTGAAAACAGTTATCATGGATGTAACCTAATAGACTTTTATGACTGACAATCATACTTATGAACAAAGCAATGTTTGCATTCTAAACAGCATTCACAAAACAATGCAAGCTATTTTTGCAAACAGTCATCATCCTCTTAGAACTGCAGAGCTAGAAGGGACCCCATGGTTCATACAGTCCAACCCTCACCAAGGAAGCAATAAAACTCCCAAACTCTGGCTCCAAAGCCAGGTACCTGACCGCTGAACAATCTAGTATAGAAAGCATAGAAACTACTCCTAGTAGACCCTAATCCATATAATCCAAGAACCTCTGTTGCTGGGAGGCGGATGCACCAACAACTTGCACAAAAATTGAATATTGGAGCCTGGTCAATAATTACTCAATACAGTGGGATTCAAGGAGGGATTTTAAAACAAAATGCCTCACTTAGGCATGTTGGTATCCTGTCTTGCTGTAAGGAGGTATTCACCACTTCCCTAACCCACTGAGCTAGTCCCCCTCTAGCTACTTTTACAAGCCAGGAAGGTGAAGGGTCCGGCCCATATGTGGTGGCTTTCAGCTCCCTACAGATCCTGGCCACATTCTTAGGCTGCATCAACTGAAACATATCCATTATAACAGGACAAGTAGGGTCCCAAGTTGCATCAACAGGACTTGCATCAACTACAGCATCTAAGGGGAAAATCAGATCAGCTTATTGCTCACTACTTGGTTTGCTTTTAATGAGGTTTGGTTCATCCTATTTTCTGGCAACCACATGTGTTTAAAGTAAGAGCGACCCATACTGCCCTTTTTGGATGACTAAAACTGTGGGATACGAGATAACCCTATATAAAATATACAAGGGGCCATGACAAAAGCCACAAAGGGGTGCCCCTGTATGTTGTATACCGGGCTGCGGCAATCACAGATAAGTGAAACGAGATACCGATCCCACAGATATGGGGACTACTGTATTTGGTGCAATTGGGAGTGTTCCTGATTATCCCATTCTGCAATCTGTGTGGTTGCTTAATTCACTTCAAAATAGACCTGTTGGCAGAGTTCTCTTTGGTGACAAACCTGTGACATATGAAGCAGGTTGTGACACCAGAAAGGATGGCAGAGACACCTTCTCCTCTATTTTCCTCTTCTCACAATTAAAAAACAATATTATCCTAAGTGATGCAGTGCTATTTCAGATATAAGGGAGTATCCATGCTAGGTTGCTATATTGCTGTAGCGCTATGCCATTTACTAATCTGAACCCCCAAAAAGGGGAAAGTTACTGCTGCTGGTGGAATGACAGCCATGAGAAAAGGGGAGGGGAGGGTTTTCAATAATTAAAAGGGGTGTGTGAAATTGGAGCAATCTGAATTGCTGACTGGATCCTTCTCACAGGAGAAGAAATGTCTCCCCTGTGGATAGAAGGAGCACTCATGTGAAATAAAAATGATTGCACTGAAGATAAGGGCATTTTAAAGCTACCATGATCACTCCAAATTCCCCTATCTAGTCATGTCTTCAGTCAGAGTGGATCTGTGTAACTTTGTCTGCAAAGAGCCATGGAAACTCTTCACAGCAGGCCATCATTGTTTCTCTCTTGTGATGATCTGTGCAATAGGCCTTTGACCACCCGAAAGAGCTCTACTGGGTGGCTCTGTGCAGATGCAATGGTGGCAGACAATAATTGTTTCTTCACTGCCACCACTGCCACAGAACAGGCTTTGCAATGAGCTCTAGTCTGTGTTCAATCAGATCTGCTCTGAGTTTTCCATCATGGTCGCTGTAATCCCTGAACCAGGAATACTAAATTGTTTCCTAACAATGTCTGAAATAAGTATTTAACAAGGGATCTTGCCAAAATTTAAGACTTGAACTGCAGATTCCACAAACCTAAGTACCTGAATGTAATTTCTAGTAAGGATATGAGATACATCCAGAATTTAAAGCTGAATTTATTCAGACATTAATGCCAGTCATCATAATGTACTTATAACATAACACTTAGTTAAGTGAAGCCAGTCTGAGGATGTTGTAATGCAATACGCAATGCATATACTTTTGGAAGCCTGACAAGTGTTCTTGTGTAAGTACAGTACTTTATGTTTTCAAATGTGAAATAATCACAATATTTGAACCCAAATTAGAATGAAAACAAAACCTGACACTATGAGCAATTCTGTCCTACATGACTAGCATTACAATCCTGCATGATCACCACTACTTTAGATTACAACTTTTGAATACATATATATCTACACATTGATTTGCAAAATAATAATAATAAGAGCAGCTGAAGCAACAACAACTGTAGCTATATGGCATTCTGTCAGAACCACAAGCTTTGTTTAAAACATATGACTAAGATAGGCAGTGAGAAGTCATAGCAATGTATTCAACTAGGTCCTCCTGCTTTTTGATCCAGGAGAGAATTCCAGAAATAAAAAGGCAACAGTGTGATGGGCCACAGATTTCCTTTTCATTCTCAGGCTCTTGTGCCACCCCACCCCCCCAAATCTGCCCCAGAGGATTAGGGGACCTTTTGAGACATTCTGCAGGGACTGCGTTAAAAAGGCAAAAGGTTACGGCTTCAGTCTTTGATGAACAAGAGCCTTCTGCCAGGGGATAAGGAGATCTGGGACACAATTGCCTATAATGCAATAGGACCACACATCATCTTTACTAAAGAAAGTGACTTATATACCATTCTGTAAACACACTAGGCATCTGTAATGTTTGCTTCCCACTGTGTCCAAGTAGGACAGGGAAGCCCTGAATAGGATTTACGTTGCTCATATTCCTATTCATTCAAATGGGCTAATGGGGTCACCCAGGACACAGAGTATCAAGTCGTATCAGCAACAGTAATAACAGGCAACTTTTCTGTAAAATGCTTCCAGTTTCATTTCTGGTAAGCATTTGTTTGGAAATACACAAAATTGTGATTGTGGGTCAGAGGCAGAACTGCATTTTACAAGGAGATGGGGCAAGCAAGATTAAAAGGATCTTATTGGGAAAAAAAGAAAAACCAACACTTCCATATCAGGAACCGTGAAACATATTACACAATTTTAGAATCCTCTGTTCCTCAGAAGTGTCTTTCACTTTTAAAATGTATTATCATTATTTATTAAGCCACGTCCCCCTTAAGACAGGTGTCATTTTCTCCGCTTTGCTGATACAAATATCACAAAGATGATACAAATGCTCATGGCTGACTATGGACTATATTAAACTATGGAACCTTACAACTGGAAAGGATCTCAGAAGCTCTCTAGTCCAACCCTTCCCTTAATACAGAACTGACAGGGCTGGATGCCACTACACCATCCTGTTTCTGCTTAAGCACTTCAACTGAAGGAAAGACCACCATCTTTCAAAGCAACCTGCTCCCCTGTTCAGCAGTTCTTACCATTAGAACTTTTATCCTGAAGTTTACCTGAAATATGCTTCCTTGCAACTTCTACCCATTGACCAACACCCAAATATTAATCCTAACTAGAGCATAGTCACTGAATCAATGTAGTCAACACCTACATAAACCTCACTGATTCAAAGGGTCTACTCTAATTGGGACTACCAAAACAGGTAGGATTCAGACCACTGGTTCTAATTCTGTGATTTGATCAAGAGAAAATGTGTCTCATCTGTCTTCTGCACAATAGCCTTTCAGATCTGAATTCAGCTATCATGTCTCCGCTTAATCTTCTCTTCTTCAGGCTAATTCTTAGTATGTTGGAATTTAGCACTTTGAATAGAGAGTTGATGTACTTACTAGTAGTCTTCTACAGTAACCAAACCTTCTGCTGCCATCTTCTCCAGTCAGCATGAAAGAGAATGTCTCACTGTAATAAAGATTACCATAGATTTCAGTGCATTACTTGAAAGCAGGTATTAAGATTTACTCGGCTTTCCTTTCAATGAATCAGATTTTTGGACATGCCTTCAGATATCTTCCAGATAGGTAAAAGTCATTGTTTTATTCCACATATCTTGTGAGGCTCTGACACTAACCAAAGGATTTGTACTCATTCCATCCGCGTGTAAAATGATTACTGAAAATCACAAGCATCAAGGAGGTAAGCCTTAAATGTCTTATTTGAAAGCTATTTCAAAATCAATTCATTCATTTTTTTATTGATCCCACTGATTTTACACACACACACACACAGACACACACAGAGAGAGAGAGAGAGAGAAAGAGGAATGAAGGGCAGGTGTGTACCATTTTCTGAGTTGTAGACTGACTCAGGAAATGAACCAGGTATTTCCTGAATTCTGGAAATAATCTGGATCATTTCTGGATATTTGCACAGGCAAATATCCCAGAACGGCCAGAATTCAAGGTTATATAAATAATAATATGGCTGTCTTCGACTAATACTGAGCAAATTACATTTGCAGGAATTGTGAACAGGAGCAGAAACTAGATGTGATATATAGTATATCACAGAAGTGAGTACACCCCCTCACATTTCATAAATATTTTAGTATATCTTTTCATGTGACAACACTGAAGAAATGACACTTGGCTACAATGTAAAGCAGTGAGTATATAGCTTGTATAACAGTGTAAATGTGGTGTCCCCTCAAAATAACACAACACCCAGCCATTAACGTCTAAATTGCGGGCAACAAAAGTGAGCACACCCCTAGTGAGTACACCCCCTCACATTTCATAAATATTTTAGTATATCTTTTCATGTGACAACACTGAAGAAATGACACTTGGCTACAATGTAAAGCAGTGAGTATATAGCTTGTATAACAGTGTAAATGTGGTGTCCCCTCAAAATAACACAACACCCAGCCATTAACGTCTAAATTGCGGGCAACAAAAGTGAGCACACCCCTGTGACAATGTCCAAATTGGGCACAAAGCGTCAATATTTTGTGTGGCCACCATTATTTTCCAACACTGCCTTAACCCTCTTGGGCACATAGTTCACCAGAGCTTCACGGGTTGCCACTGGAGTCCTCTTCCACTCCTCTAGGACGACATCACAGAGCTGGTGGATGTTAGAGACCTTGCACACCTCCACCTTCCGTTTCAGGATGCCCCACAAATGCTCAATAGGGTTTAGGTTTGGAGACATGCTTGGCCAGTCCATCGCCTTTACCCTCAGCTTCTTTAGCAAGGCAGTGGCCGTTTTGGAGGTGTGTTTGGGGATGTTAATCATGTTGGAATACTGCCCTGCGGCCCAGTCGCCGAAGGGAGGGGATCATGCTCTGCTTTAGTATGTCACAGTACATGCTGGCATTCATGGTTCCCTCAATGAACTGTAACTCCCCAGTGGCAGCAGCACCCAGGCAGCCCCAGACCATGACACTCCCACCACCATGCTTGACTGTAAGCACCACACACTTGTCTTTGTGCTCCTAACCTGGTTGCCGCCACACACGCTTGACACCATCTGAACCAAATAAGTGTATCTTGGTCTCATCCAACCACAGGACATGGTTGCAGAAATCCATGTCCTCAGTCTGCTTGTCTGCAGCAAACTGTATGCGGGTTTTCTTGTGCATCATCTTTAGAAGAGGCTTCCTTCTGGGATGACAGCCCTGGAGACCAATTTGATGCAGCGTGCGGTGTATGGTCTGAGCACTGACAGGCTGACCCCCCACCCTTCAACCTCTGCAGCAATGCTGGCAGCACTCATATGTCTATTTCCCAAAGCCAACTTCTGGATATGATACTGAGCTTCTTTGGTCGACCATGGTGAGGCCTGTTCTGAGTGGACCTTGTCCTGTTAAACCGCTGTATGGTCTTGGCCACCATGATGCAGCTCAGTTTCAGGGTTTTGGCAATCTTCTTATAGCCTAGGAGGCCATCTTTATGTAGAGCAAAAATTCATTTTTTTTCAGATCCTCAGATAGTTCATTACCATGAAGTGTCATGTGGAACTTCCAGTGACCAGTCTGAGAGAGTGAGAGTGATAACACTTCCTCTTCCTTCACACCTGAGACTTTTGACACTAACGGGTCTCATGACACCAGGGAGAGAAAACGGCTACTTGGGCCCAATTTGGACATTGTCACTTATTGGGTGTACTCACTTTTGTTGCCAGCGGTTTCATTGATGGCTATGTGTTGCATTATTTTGAGGGGACAACACATTTACACTGTTATACAAGTTGTATACTCACTGCTTTACATTGTAGCCAAGTGTCATTTCTTCAGTGTTGTCACATGAAAAGATATACTAAAATATTTATGAAATGTGAGGGGATGTACTCACTTCTGTGATATACTGTATTGCCCTGTTTCCCCCAAAATAAGACGTAACCAGAAAATAAGCCCTAGTATGATTTTTCAGGTTGCTTGTAAGTCCTACCCCCAAAATAAGTCCTAGTTAAGTGAAACCCCTGCCTCCACTATTGTGCAGCATTGTGCAGCAAACAGAAGATGACATGACTGTAAAATAAAACATCCCCTGAAAATAAGCGCTAATGGGGTTTTTGGAGCAAAAATTAATATAAGTCCCTGTCTTATTTTCAGGGAAACACTGTAGCAAAATGTTACAACATTCGGGGGGGGGGGATCAGCTACATACAATATATCATTAGATAATGGGCAAAACATTATGCCCGTTTTGTCACCCGTTATCACAGCTACTAGCAGGATCCTGTACCTGTTGTACTCTGACACTGGATTCCAGTCTTTCGCATCTGGAAAGCAAAACTGGGGGATGGCTTTGAGCCGTTCTTCTGCTTCACGGACTTGTTTTGTGGGTCTTTCTAGCTGTGGTTGAAAAAGTCAACATCAGGAGAGTCCAACAAAGGAGGCCCAAATCAACATTTTGAAATCACCACTGTAAGTATGTAACCCATGCAGAAAACCAGATCAAATAAATTAATGAAAGGAGAAAATTGTCTTGAAATCCTGTAGTACAACTCTGCATGCACAACATTTTGGTTAAAGGGAATTTTAGGGTGTGTGCAGATTGTACTCTATACACACAGCCTGAAATTGCTAAAGGGAATCAGAAGCCATGTGCTGATGATGACATTATCTTTACTGTACACACCAAGCTGCACAGCAGGATTTCTGTACACTGGACAACCTTTAGAATGCATATGGAGTAACAAAAGTATACACCTGAAAGTAGAGATGGAAATATCTGTCTAATTCATTTCTACAACAATTGTATTTTTCAAACAATTGTTGCCCAAAATAGCCTTCATAAACATTAATCTTCACACTCACAAGAATTTGCACAAAGTTTTCCTTGCAAATTTCTCTGAGATATGCATTTCTGCCAGCACTGTTTTTCTAGCCTAGGAAATTTTGATGTTATCATTTTAAATGGAGAAATAGCATCAGAAAATGAGCTTGGTTTGGATTCAAAACCCTGCCAAGCAAATGTCACCGGCATCCACCTTCTAGCTTCAAGCTAAATTAATTAAAAGCAACAGAGACAATTGGTTGTCACTATTAACAGACTGGTCTGATAATTGCTGAAGTTCCACAAAATCTGTTATCAGAATCTTGGAATTTTCCCTCCTCTGTATGGATATACACTCTATCGTGAGTGTTTCTTGTTTGAAATAATAACCACCACTCTAACACTGTATTTAACTGACTCAGATAGCCTTACATGGGTGAGAGTCTTGAAATTACAGGCACCCGCACTGCTGGGTTGTATCCAATAATGGTTTGAGCCAAAGGAATATCCTCATTAGGAAATAAAATGTTATAGTCTCCCCCCCCCATCCCCAAACCACCTCTTTTAAAGGCCTGAAACACCCAGTGAAGGCCTGACATGTGGGCAACCATGAACGAGAAGATGGGGAATTGCTCAAATTCAGAGTGGCACTTTCTATGAAGTCTGTCCCTCTCATGGAAGGTGCCCTTGCTGTACATCTCTGCATCAATCTTCCTCCATTACGCATCTTCCAGCCAACCCTCTGAAGTGGGGAAGAGGGACAAGGTATTTTCCCTAATGAGACCATTCTTTCCTTCAGGTTATACCTTGATGTGAATTCCTATACCACTAGCAGGAAACAAACACTGCCCTCCCCCTCAAATATACATATCATTATGTTACTGTTTTAGGTCTCAACAGTGCTGAATTCACAACTTGTGAAAAACACATGCACTTCCTACCAGGTTCAACCTCTAGCCCATCAAGACATGTTGGCAATAGTTACAAATGGCAGGATAATCAATGGTGCAAAAAAGATGGCTCACTGACACACAGGTACTGCCTTTACTAAGCTATACACAGACCTCTAAAAGATTGCAGCATTATCCTGCAGAGGATTTCTGAAGTTTATATAAGATAGTAAAGGAGTGGTTTTAACCAGAGCCAACCACCAGTGATTTTCCATAACTGAACAGGGATTTGAACCCAGATCTTCTACCAGTAAATCCCAGTCTAACTCTCTATCTACCACACTGCACTTCATTATCCTAATCCTATGTAGGTTCACTTAGAAATTAGTCACTATAAATTCAGTTGGACTATTTTCAATGTTGTGCATAGAATTAGTGTCTTAAAAGGAACTCTTCCAAAGTGCTATGACAGTACATTGGAAACATTTTTAGAGTAGGAGAGGTCTGTCTGTCTGTCTGTCTCAAAAACTTATATACCATCCATTAATGCTAGGTACTACTCTGGGTAGTTTATATAATATAACAAACAAGACATTAAATAATCACTTAGAGACAAAGTAAAATTGAACAGATCCTACATGTTCCTAACAGTATCTCACAGATATTACCACCAAAAACCAAACAAAACAAGAAACAAAAAAACCCAGAAACAATAACAATAATAAACAAAATAACCAGATCTAATAAGCTGAAAGCCCAACCAATAAAATTCTTACCTTTGGAAACTGATATGTGACTTCAGGAACAAATGTGTTTTTGGAGGGCTTCTTCTTAAGGGAAACCACCACAAAATATTCAAACAGTTCACGTTCCTGCCATTCAATCAGCTCCAGTTCCAAGGTCCGGTAACTAGGGGCCTTTTTTAGCATTGACTGAATATGGACAAGGCGTTGGGTGTGAGCTAGTATTACAAAACAAAGAAAAAAAATAATAGTTGGAAGTTTGGTCAGAGGTGCAGTACTAGCCCAAAGCATGTGTTCTCTGAATTCTTTGGTCACAGCAAGGATGGTCTCTTCCAACAGTGAAATGACAGAAGTCATTCAAAAGAACTTTAGCATGTATAGCTTGTCAAGCATTACTTTAGCTGGAGATGCTCAAAGAAGGGCACTTTTAAAAACATGTTTTTAAAACATGGATTTTCTTTTTATATCATACATTGCATACTGTAAAGGCCTATGGCCATAAACAAAAAAGTTTTGACTGACAGACTGTTAAGCCCTACATGAAGTTCTCAACTGACAATATAAAAACATGTGTAATAAACTTGCGATGCCTAATACAATCTAAATGCTATAGCAATAAACACTTATATACAGAACTACCTTACAACTAATATAGAATCATTTCCATCCTGCCTACACGCTTCAGCTTTGAGGACAGAGTAATGCAAAGGAATAGAATCATTTGCAGAATTTTCCATTTCTAAATTTCTGCATTTATAAAGGCAAGATTTCTCCTTGCTTATAATCCAATCATATCAAGTGATGAATGCACATTAGTGACCAAGAATTATGGCAGAACTCTACATGTCGAATTTTGAAATAACAAGATGTGATTTTCAGACATTTCAGTCCTCTGTAGCCACATGGTGTCTGAATTTATTCCCTGCCTGCCACTGAACAAGCTTAATATTCTGCAACAATGCAAATACCTCACCCCATATCTTTTTCAGAGACTTTTCCTGCCCTTTTAGTTTAAAATTAAATTGGGAAAACAATATGCTCCCATTTCTGTCCATCAGGAAATGCATTATTTTTGCTGTTTCTATAAAGTTGTTAAGCTGAAATCATTTTTAGCAGCTGCTTATCATTGGAGGTATATACTTAAGCATTTTAGTATGTAATACAGTAGTTTCAATTTTATTAACCATTTTAGAAATGCAGAGCTGGAAGGGACTCTATGAATCATTGAGTCCAGGCTCCATCAGGGAGGCACAGTGAGGAATCGAACTCCCAACCTCTGGCTCCACAGCCAGACACCACTGTGCCATTTCATTGGTTTTAAGGCAATATTTCATTTATGTTTTCTATATACCAAGAACCCACTGAGTTATTCACCAGGGTATTATTTTTGAGAAAGAGAAAAATATGATAGTGAACACATAATACTAATATTATGCCCCATAAAACTAGCAGCAACACATTGCAGTTTTATCCATCTGTTTCTGCTGTACTTCAAATTGCAAATACCACAGCAGTCTGCCTCAAGCCAGAACATTCATTGGAATAAAAGCAGAATCTGGCACTAGTTTGGAAATCAGTCCATAAAAACAGATTTACTGGCTAGACAATGAAGAGTTAGATGGACCAGACTGCTAGACAGTAACAGCAGCAAAGACAGCTGAAGAGAAGTGGAACCTATTTCAGTAATTTCACAATCTTTTCATTTTTTTATCCTTAAAGAATTTTTCAAATGCATGCCATAACCAATATGAAATATATGTTTCTAAAAAATGCAGTGCTAAGCTCTCCATGTACGTATCTTGCTGAAATTGCTATACAGACTACAAAAAGATCACTGGTATAGTATCATGGTTAAGAAGAACTCTGATGTGAAGTGTTTGGTTTGAAGCTTAGCTTAGCCATGAGCTTACTGGGTAGCTCTTACCATAATCTTCCTTCCCTTCCACTTTGGTAGAAGATAAAAGTGACATGACTGACAGCCTAGTCAGAGAGTTTTCCACTTCTTTCATAAGCCTACAGTAGTAACTACTCATGTACATCTTCATTTTGATTCACACAGATGGATGTACATCCAGGTAAGCCTGCTCTCCTAAACTATTCAAGGCTTTTTTCACCCATGAAACATGCACTTCCCAAACAATATTTGTTCAGTTCAAAATGCAAGAGATGCAAACGGGTATTTTTGTTAATAGATGATAAAAAGTGAGAAGAGTGGAATGAGCTATGTGGGTTCCTCTAGAAACCTCAATCCTGATTCTTACTCCCCATACCTGCTGAAAGTACTCCATTCAGATACAACTCGTGCTGTAGCACAGATGGGCTGAACACTCTCCAAAGACTGGAAACAGCGTGCGCATGCACACATGCGTGCAGACACACAATTTGCTGTGTGTTTGAATTTTTTTTACTTCAAAAAGCCCAGGGACATTGGGCATGCATTTGGCCACATTTTACTCCCTCCCCATGTATGCATACAAATTGTAGTCACCAATCCATCCTTTAATTACCCTGTGTTTTTTTTACTGTAGCAGAGGAACTGCTATTTTATTATTTGTGATTGAATGTTTATATTGCTTTATTCTACCTAAAAGATGCACATCAAGCAACACATAATAGAACAAACTGTCAAATCTACAATACAATTAAAAACACCAATACAGTAAACCAAAACCAAACAAATGACTGCAGTGTCTGATGTACCAAGACCAGTTATTAGCTCATGAAAAGACAGTGAAGGTAAACATCAACCAGATCTTGTTTCCAAGCTATGATACTGACTCCAAAAAAAGCCTTGTTGTGTACCCCCCAGATCTCAAAACATTAAAAGAGGGAATGGACAACAAGACCTTTAAATGGGAAGAAATAAGAGGTGAAATAATCCCAGAGATATCAAAAACCCATGGCTAAGGATGTTTAAAGAAAACTTAACTACCTTCAGTAGAGGACAGATCTCATGTTAACATGCTGTGGTCTGGAGGAATCACTTATGGTATTTCTCTAGGATTCTACACCGCTTAGAATCTGCACCATTAGGGAGCCATTTCAAAATTTTATAAGTTTCAGACTTTATTGCAGAAAACTCTACTAGCTATCACAAAACTGTTAAAGACTCTCTCTTTTTTTCACATATTAGTTTCCTAATGGAGATATTCCACATTTCTAGACAAGACTCAACTTTGGAAAATTAAAATGTTCATACATTTATCTACAAGCATGTTCAAAATCTACAGGCCCCAGGAGTGATTCTAAAGCCATCAAAGTCATCTGAGCACCATCTGCCCCCAATTAAGTCTTCTTTAAATATATATATATATAGATAGATTTTCCTGAGAAACCCTGTATTTTCACTCATGGAGGTAGCCAGGAACTGGAGTTTCTGTACTGCAGATAGTGCAGATTTACTAAGGACCCACTTCATTTTTTTCTTTTTCTTTTTCTTTTTTTAAGGTTAAAGCAAATTCAAGGCCGGCATGACCGATGGCAGAGGCTGGGGTAGGCCAAAGATTTCATCCATGAACCAGCTGTGTTTTCCCATTCTTAATCTATAGCTCAAAGATGTCTGGTTATTCACAAAGAAGAACAGATGTATAAGGATGTATTGCTGGAATATTCTCAGTTACTTTTTACAAATGTGAAACCTGAACGGTGAAGAATACTGACAAGGAAAAAACAGGCACATTTGAAATTGGTGTTGAGGAAAACTTTACAGATATCATGAACAAATAAGTGGATGTTACATCAAATCAAACTAAAAGCTGTGCAGACCCCAGAGATCTTCTAGGCCTCAGTTATGGATTGGACGAGGGCTAACAGACTGAGATTGAATCCTGTCAAGATGAAGATCTTATTGTTAGGAGGGGATCCTGATTCGTTAGGGGGCTGTATGTTTGATCCATACAGGGTTATACTCCACCTGAAATACCAGGTACCATGATTTGGGTGTGGTTCTGGACCTGGTTCTTTTCATAGAGAAACAGGTCTTGGCTATGGCCAGGTCTCCCTTCTTCCAACTTAGGCAGTTTACTGTTCTTACTATGGTCCTACTTAGACAGGAAATCCCTGATAACACTAGTTCATGTGCTGGTAATCTTGAAGATTGACTACTGTAATGCTCTCTGTGTGGGACTGCCCTTGAAGGTGGTACGGAAGCTGCAGCAGATGCAAAACAGGAGATTTTTAGATACCATCATATCTCTCCAGTATTGGCTTATTTGCACTACTTGCCTGTATGCGTTCGTGCCAAATTCGTGTTAATGTTGACATACAAAGCTCTGAATCATTGGGATCTAGATACCTATTGAACCGCCTTTCCCTAAGATATACCACCCATGCCACTTGCACCTCCCAAGCCTTGACACTCCAGGTAACCACCCTGAGGGAGGTCATGACTAGGAACCAGAACTTCTCACTGGTGGCCACCTCCCTGTGGAACTCAGTACATGTGGAGGTACATCAGGCCTCTTCCCTCCCAATATTCAGAAAGCATATAAAAACACTGCTGTTCAAAAAAGCATTTCAGAATATCCTCCACCTTTAATTTTGTTATTTATGTTATATGTTACTGGTGTTTTCGGATCTGTTGTCACCATTGTGTGTGGGTTTTTTTTCGGGGGTTGCTTTGATTTTATTGTGGGTTGGGGATGGGTCCTTACGTTTATTATTATGTTGTAAATTGACCAGAATTAAAAGACCTAACATGAGATGCATTGACTCAATAAAAGAAGTCATAGGCTTGTTTGTAAGACCGGAGCAGGGCTCTAATTTACAGTCACCATAAAATGGAAACAGCTTGATGGTGAACAACAGCAACACAAAGAAAAAAAATAACAGGGTATGATACAGACAAAACTTTTTTAAAAATACCCGTAGCAGTACTGCTCCCCACCATATTCACAGAAGCCTCTCTTGCAGCACTGTCACCCCTGGTCAGATAGTTTTGCAGATTTTTGAAATACAGACAATACTGGACTCTGTTTACCAAAATAGAATGGTGCTCTCTATCACAAACAATTATCACTCTTTTGAACTTCCTCTCTCTTTCTAAAGAAAAAGGAATGTCTCTGGTTCTATTTCACTGGATTTTAAAGTAACTAAAAGGTAAGGTATATTATGTGAGGCCCTCACCTTTAAACCTGTCATCTGAATCACTTTCACTCTCACTGTTTTCATCTGAAAGAGAAAGAATTTAAACATTAGAATACTCCATGTTCACTCTCATGTCTACAACTTTGGAAAAAGCACAATGCAAAGAGCATCTCTCAGAACAGATTCTTCAGGGGATATGTCTATGGGGATATGTTTCATGGTTCTGAAAGTGTTTAGATACTTGGAGGTAATTCCCATGTTGCATTAGACATACATATGCACACACACTTAAATACACACACACACTGAAAACTATTTAAATTTAAATCCATTAAAGGAGGTTGTACAACACCAGATAAGGCAGGGAAAAATGTTTATAAGCTAAGGTTAGCAGAAATATACATGAAAAATACCACTTAGTCACGTGAGAGTGCCCATTTGCAGAAGGTCACAGCTGTGGCCAAAATGATTCATTCACAGTGTGTGGTTCTTCAAGCTGTTAAAGACAGTGTTGTGTATCTTGGTCAGCTATTCTTCAGTAGGCAAACAGATAATGGTGTGGGCAAGGACAGAAAGCAGACACATCCAAGAGATCAGCAGTAGGCAGCCCTCTGTGCTACTTTCCCAGGACTAGCGTCATGGCCCACTCTTGTAGCATCACACCACATAAGGCAAGGCTGTGAGGAGCTTCAGCTGTAGCAGCTGCACTGGCATACATGTATGTACGCTAACAAGTGCATGCAAAAATGCACAAGATGCACAGTAATGCATGTTACAAACATTTGGAAATAAATGGCATATGAGATCCTGTTTGAACTCACCTACTTTTACATTTTACAGGTGTATGTAATGAGTTAACAGGAAAAAAGGACTAATGGAATATATGGACATATCTATGCACTTCAATTCTTTATTTATCAGTTAAGAAACTAGCTGATAAATTCCAGGATACAATGAAAGCTAGCTACCTTACAAATTACACAGTGATAGTGCCTGCTGCAACTACTCTGACTTCCCCCAACATCTCCTGTAGTAAATATGCCAAGTGTGAAAGGCAGATATGTGCTTCTAAATGCTCAGGGGGGCACACACCAGTTCCTAAATGTCAAGGACCTTCACATCTGTGAAAGACAGATTTGGGTTCTTAAATGCTTTAGGACAGTGGTCCCCAAACTTGTGCCTCCAGATGTTCATGGACTTCAACTCCCAGAAATTCTGGCCAGCAGAGACGGTGGTGAAGGCTTCTGGGAGTTGTAGTCCAAGAACATCTGGAGGCTCAAGTTTGGGGACCACTGTTTTAGGACACACACACACAAATTAGACTCCTAATTGGCTGCAGCTCCCTTGTGGGTATTCATTGCATTCTTAGGAACAAGCATCTGCCCCTTGCAACTTAATGCACTGGCTCCTACTGCTTGTCCCATTTAGAGCAGACTTAGTGAATTAGTTCTTGAATAGTGACTCAATTCTCCCATTGATTCAATGCATCTACTCTACTTGGGACTGCTGATAGATAGGGTTCTGGCCTGTGTGTATACTACTAGTCAATGAAAATCAGTTCATAAATCACAATTACTTGTTAAAAGGACAGAGGACAGATTCAAAATCTACACGTAGACAATATCTTTATTTGAATAACTAAAATTCCATAAGAGTGTGCAAGTTTTCCAGAACTCTGCATCAGGCTAGGTGCCATTGCTAGGTGTTATCTGAGACATGAACATCTACCAAGGACTCTGCAGTCTCCACCTTGCTACTGAGCCTAACTGCAGATATCAAGGCTACAATATCCGGTCAGATTTCTGGACTTCCATTCAGTTTTTCTCCTATGTCAACTACTTTTGCATAGTGCCTTAAAAAAGTGCTCTAGGAACGCCAAAGCTTGCACACAGTTGTGAAATTTTAGTTACTGCTCATAAAGGAACTGCCCTGGCAATTTTCTTTTGTTAACATGGATCAGGACTTTCTTTTTGCATTTGCTATAGACAATCAGTATTCTCTGATTAATTCAAAATATTTTCACAGGGTACCTCTCAATGATGCTGTTTCAATATTGGACATTGAGAGCTTCTTCAATCTTTTCTTCCCTCTTTTTGCACTATAGATAGAATTTATCCTTTGTACAAGCTGTAAAAGAAAAGGATGGACATCAACCTAGCACACATCACGATCCACAAAGGTGAACATGGACCAAGTCTAAATTCTGTTTTCCAACCTGTTTTCCAAGAAATACATGATTTATTCAGGCTGCATCCCAAACCACTTATCTGGAAGTAAACTTTGCAGATAACCTCCTAAGTAGCAATGCATAGGATTGTGCTATTACGATTCTTGTCTCTTACATGCGATTTAACTATGACTATTGTTATACACAAAATATTCATCCCAGACAAGTTCTAAAGTAGGGGCAATACAAGCTTCCACAGTAGGTGTTTGCATATAGAGGTAAACTTCAGAACCTGCTTCCTAACCAAGATTGAACACAACAGTAGTTGATTAGTAAGAAGAGTTCCAGAGCTAAATTACCTAAATCTCCTAAATATTCTCTAAATATCTGTAATGTAACTTTAATTGCTTGTGCTTATATTTTCTCCTTTATTAGAGAGAATGTAAGAATAACAGTATAATACTATGGATGTTTACTCGGAAGTAATTCCTTTTATGTTTTCTCAAGAAAATGTGAATTCTGTAGGACCTACATGGATATGTATAGTTGTGAATAGCTAGTGATAAAAATCTTTATATAAATATTTTCATGTTTTGATCCTAATATATTCTTAGCAATGTAAATTTTAAGCACTTCTTTATGAGCAGGAAATAGCTAAAATACAAGAAAATCCAACTTTTACAATCTGCAGATAAACATTGTTCATTCTGATTCGATATGACCCTCTAAGCTCCCATAGCTCAAATTGAATGTATGCTTGTTTCAGAACTGTAATAAAACAGCTTTTTGACTTGCACAGTTTGTGGATAAACAAAATCCACATTGTTCTAATGGCAATTTCCTTGGGAACCATCATTGCACACAAAAACAAAGCAGAAAAATTAATTTAAGGCACATACTGCAGATTATAAATAGTAACAGACCAACTGCTTGTCATATTATAATTGAGCTAGCAAGCAAAGCTTAACTGAGCTTAAAGGAAGTGGGCCACTGTTTAATCAAGAGAAAGCCCAGACCCACTGCCCCTCTTTGAACACGCGTCCTAGACAGGCTTTTCGTTAGATGTGATCGTGAAGGATAAAGCTTGTGTGCACCTACTACACATAACAATCGATACAACTGTCTTCATATGGGCAAAAACAAAACAAAAACAGACTAACACAGCTACCTCTTCTAAAACTATATCTTCATACAGTTTCTCACAATCAGTATTCTTCTTGTAGGAAGCTAGGAGCACATATGGCCACACTATAAACATTACACAGTAGACCTGTAACAGGCTGTGAAATACTGCATTTCCTATCACTTGTTAGAATAATGTTTACATCGCTACTTTGTACCTCATGGTCTAAAATTTGAGCATTAGTTTTTATTTCATGATCTAAAAATAGAGCATTATTCTCTCCATGGTATGCTTTTATTGTCTGAACACTGGGCATTATACCACCAAAAGTGTCCCAGGTTCCCACTACCATCATGTATCTCTGAGCACTGACTGCCCTTTGGATAAAGGGAGAAAAAGTTTTAAAAGTGATACATCCAGTCAGTTCCATTACTTTGTAGGAATACTGTGAAGCTCCATCAATTTGACAAAATATTAAATATTTAAGCATGTGTTTAAAAGACAAATAATGTACACATCAAGCAGGCAATGGGGACAGCTTCCAGTCATGCATAGTTATCTCTAAAATGGGTTGTATACATGGATATGCTGATAGCCAATGTGACACAGCAAGACTCAAGACCAGGGAGGTCTGACTTCAAACATCTATCAGCCATGAAGCTCCCTGGGTGCTCCTGGGTCAATCAATGTCTGTCAGCTTAACCTACAAGGAGGATAAAGGAAAAAGGAAGAATCTAGCATGGTATACTCCCACCAAGGCCACAGACTGCCACCAGGCCACGGACCGGGGGTTAGGGACCCCTGTCTTAGCCAAAATTGTAAATATACAAAACTACACAAAGGTGGTAGAACCCATTTTCTAGAACTATGGCTACCCCTTTTGATGTTCACTGAGAGAATACCTACTCCAGATGGCTGCACAACTTTAACACATTGGCTCAAATACAGCAGTAAATCACAATTAGAGTAGGCCCATTGAATATGAATTTCGGGAGTCAACTCCTCCATAAGTTCCATTTATTCAGTGGGCCTACTCTAGTTGTGACTTACTACTGAATTTCAGCCATTGTTGGCTTACTCATAAATCAGAATACTGCTTAGGATCCTTGATTTTGCACTGGAAACTCAAATATTGTTATTAATATACCACTGTCTATAGTAGTCATTTTCAATGTGAAAAAAAAATTGGCCAAGGCCATGAACACAATAAGAAAGAAATACAGGTCAAATCAGGATTGTATAAGTTGCACAACAAACCCTATAAAATGGTGTGTGAAGAATTGTTTCCAGTTTGTCATCCCCTTTAAATGTGCCAGGGCCCCTCTGTTGAGAATGGCTGGTCTATAGCTTCAGGCTCAAAAACACTAGCATAGAACCCTCAGTGTCCCCAAATTCTGGACTCCTCCCTAGGTCTCACAACAAAATTTAGCTCTTCAGGACTAGCTCATGAGACTGTTAAATTGCTATTACCTTTGGGATCCTCCTGGCCCTGCGTGTAGACAGAAGTTCACTTGTAGTACTCAGACTGTCCTCATTCAGGCTGGAGGGTGAAGAGGGGATGCCCAGCTGGGCCAGCAGCAGCATATCGTCATGGCTGTGCCTCTTGGGTAATCGTGGCAAGCGATGGCTTTTCCTTTCTGACCAGTTTCCAATTCTTAGAGACTGGCTGCTTGAAATTGAAGGTAGCTAAGGAAGGAAGGAAGGAAAAGAAGTAAGTAATAGAAATATAGCTGGTCTCAGGCCAATCATTCAGGCTGTGATGAGGTATGCCAAGGCTTCATTATACTCTTCATCAAACTAGCAGAAAAATCTCAGCTGAGCTTCAGTGAACACTGAATAAGGAGTGTTTGTCAGACTGAGACAAAAATTGCCTTTTCCTCAGCAACTGCATCGTGTCTTCGGTACAAGCAGCTTCTTTGTAGTCACTCCGAAGAGCAGTCCATCTAGCCCAGCATTTCCTTACCTTCACTGTCTGCCTCAGATAGAGCCTCTTCTCTCTGAGATTCTTCAAATAGATAATGGTCTTGGATTGTATATGGGAACTAATTACAGTTCAGGTTGGACTACGTATCCCAGAATCCTTCAGCAAACATAAGGGGATTCTGAGAGGTATACTACAAAAAGGCAACATTTCTGAATTCTATACATTGTATGCACCAGAGGTAAACTGTACTGCCAGGACTTCTCTCCACTGATAACATTCTATGTACAGTGGGACTTAACTTCTGAATAAGCCTGGATATAACTGTATAGCTAGAATACATTTTCATTCATTCCTTTGCAGATATAACATTGCAGTGTATTTCATGCATCCTACTAAACATCTCCATAACTATTAATGCAATCTATTTGGAAATGGAACCTTGTTCATTTTAATACGAATATATCATGGTATTGTATTCGCAAAGGCTTTCACGGCTGGGATCTAATGGTTGTTGTGGTGTTTTGTTTTGTTTTTTGTTTTTTGGCTTTTTGGCCGTGTTCTGAAGGTTGTTCTTCCTGACGTTTCGCCAGTCTCTGTGGCCAGCATCTTTCAGAGGGCTGGAGTGGGAACTACTTCATGGTATTATCTGTACATGTGATCCATCAAAAACAAGAAAGAGCAGCAACAGCACTAGCTCCCTTAATGTGAATTACTAAGAGCCTATTACATGTAGTGTAGAGTTACTCTATAATGTGAAGGGTATGATGAACTAAGTACATACACCAGTGCTTAATAAAAGATTATTGGGGAACCCGTACAGGATGTGTCTCTAAGGAAATTAATTATAATTGGATTATATATTTCTAAGAGGCATTCCCTTCAGAGAAAAAAATTATTGCAAGACATTCAAATCTTCAAAAAGCTGAAAGAAACTGCCACTTTTTAAAGACAAAACACATGTGTTTATGTATGTAACAAGTTTTATCCTGGCTTTCTGGCCCTGTACACTCTCCAGTGCAGCTAATCCTCAAATTACACAATACTTTAGTAATACATAAGCTGTTCTCACCCTGAAACCAAACAATCAAAATAATTAACATAAATCAAAACAAGGAACAAAACTGACACACTATTCCTGCCTCTGTATTCAGAACATCTGAGTCCTGTCTTCTCGGTTCTAGACTCTGCTGTGTTACCAGCTATGAGCCTTCTTGCACCTGAACAGAATATCTGAGCAGAATATCTTCACATAGATAATCCTGTTTTCTGAAATACTTGTTTAACCTTAGGGCGAAAAGTCAAAATGAGTTCTGAAATATAAAATTTAAAACAGTCATGGTTTAACCAGAAAGGATAACTCATCAATTAAGCCCACTCTGATTGAACACTAAACTGACATTACTCATATTTCAATGGTTTTGCAGTAGATTATTATGTCACAAATATTTCAGACTCTGAAATAATTTTACTAATGTCATATATTAAAAAAAATAAGTCCCTTTAATTTCAGTGATGTTTACCCAGAAATTATTTAGGCTGAAATCAGAGGCACACTTATCCATTAAATAAATAGATCAGAGTTGGCATCAAATAAGTAACAAATGGAATTGCTGTAGCAGATAGATAAATAACAAAGAATCTGTTTCTTGGAGGAAATGCTGCTCTCTTCATCATTTTCTCAGCTGATAATAAATATGATTTGACACTAGCTTCCTCACTGAATAAATATGAATACTATGTAGTTTTTATCAAATCTGTTGATCACAGTAAAAATCTCTCTAGCAGGCAGATTTATCAACAATAATGGGAAACAAAGAACGAAAAAGAAACAAACTCTGTAGTAAAGAGTGACAGAAAAATGTGATGGATTCTGATAATTGCAAAATACAACAAAGAATAACAAACAATTTCAAGTAATACAGATGTATCCTCAAACGTAATACAGTTTATGAAAGGCTCTGCTTTTGAAGCTAATGAAACATCAAAAGTGTACAAATGAAAGCTGCTCTGAGGTCTTGAGCAAATAGTCAAATGATTCTTCTTTTCTTGTACTGTTTTTAAAAGCCAAAATATGCTTAGTTTATACCTATTTTTTCTGTCTGTATTCCTCTGGATGGTCCTTTTGCAGAAGATAAATAAATAACACTTTCACATCAAAACACAAGGACTGAAAAAGAACTCAGTGTTATGAAAACATGCTATATTTACCTGTGGAGGTGTTGTGTACTTCCTGTCCTGCGGAGTCCACATCCTGTGCAAAGAATCCAGGGAACTTTCAGAAAGCTGCTGCGATTTTCGGCCTGCATTACGGGCTTTCAGCTCCACATCCTCATATGGGTTTTCCTTGGGTGAATCTCCTTTACAGTTTTTTTTTTTTAAAGAAAAGAAAAACAGATAGGAATGCTTTTAAAAAAAAATGATGTGAACCGAGCGAAAGGCTTGTAGAAAACCTCCTTTGCTTCCAGTGTGACTCATCCTTCCAACTGCAGCTGGAAGTACTTGGATTAGATTTTGGCTATGAAAGCCAGTGTGTGTGTGCATGTGTGTTTCAGCAGGGATTTCACAAAACTGCTTTCTGAGTCCCCACAGCTCAGCTTTATTCATAAAAAAAGAAACACTAAATATAAAACTACTTTAAGGAGAAACAGGCAACCTACCGTCTACTGTTTACTCTGAAGTCATAGGGTTCAGTAGAAATTACAGTTTTGTAAAAGAGCACAGAATTGTGAATCAGTTGTTCTCTCCCGTAATAAAAGGAATGCAAATTGTTTTACTTTCTTTTCCAATTCCCTGAATGGAGTATCCTCGGGTGCAACACCAACGGTTTTAAAAAGTAAATTTTAAGAAAAATGATATTATCTTGTCACCCCCTTCTTAGTATATCTGACACAATACTTTTGCTTTATACTAAATTCAACACATAATGGGTGATGGTGGGTTGATTTAATAGTGCATCCCATTCCCCCAGCTGTCAGTGCTTCTCTGTTGACTTCAAATAAGAAGGAATGTGATAAGGAGAAATCCACAAGATTAGAGATTTCAGCATGCCCTGGGTAGTGGTTCCCAACCTTGGATCCCCAGATGTTCTTGAACTACAATTTCCAGAAATTTGGGCCAGCACAGCTAATGTTGAAGGCTTCTTTTAGTTTTTGTCCAAGAAAATCTGATGACCCACGGTTGGGAACCATTGTGCCTAGCATGCAAGAAAATCTGATGACCCAAGGTTGGGAACCATTGTGCCTAGCATTTCTAGTGGAACACTGGTATTTTCCTGGCAGAAAACCCTGAAATGGGACATTTTGAGGGTAAGTCAGGGCACATCTGGCTTTGAATCTTCTGGAGACAAATCCACTCCATCCCCCCCTGAAAAGGCCCTACATGTACCCTGAAACCCTCACCATCCCCCTTTTGTTGTCTGAGAGTGTGGTGTGGGAAAATTTGTGAATTTCTTAGCTATGTCATTCTCTAATACAGGACTGCAAAGAAACAAGTAATTTTCATGTAGAATTGGAAAAAAATACAAATGTATATCAATGATGAAGTTGGCAAAAAATAGAGTCATTTCTTTCAGTTTAAGGAAGTCTTCATATGGCTTTTACTCTAATTTCTACAAACATTTGCAATATCCTAAAGAAATGTTACTCATACAACTTTTCAAAATAAATTTTGAAAAGTCACTAAACTAAACAATTTTGTGGAACAAGCTTGAATGGCTATTAAAAAGAGAAAGACAAAGAACAGCTGACTTTTAATACTGATTATAGGCATGCAAAATTATTTTAAAAAATCTAAATAACAAAATTAATAATGTTGGAATCTTAATAATACTTTCTTAAAGATCTTCAGATAAAATGGAACTTCTGAATTAATGTGGAAGCGGATCAGAAATATGTAATTTTAAAAAACAACATACATGAGCCAAGGAAGCGATCAACCTGCTTTGGCTCATGTATGAGGTTGTTTGCATGCACCAATGGGAGCTGTTGGGAGGCGGAGCCAGAGAAACTTGCAGGGAGGGGTGAAGCAGTTAAGAGTTAGTTAGTCGTGAGACAGAGAGGAAGATCATGAAAGAGTCTGACATGAGAAGTCAGTTAAAGAGCCAGAGAGGAGAGTTAGTCTGTGAGGGGAGGCAGTTGAAAGTGAGGAACGTATAAAGAGTTAAGGGTGAAACAAGTTATTACAAAGCTACTGAATACTTTAAAGTCTTTGAATAACCTGTTTATGTGAACTGTGTACAATAAACCAGTTTTGTTAAACTTTACACGCAGTATGGACCTCCATCTTTCTAAATAAATATTGTTGACAGAGATCAACTGGTGGCAGAGTAAAGGGGGAATGTGGCATGGGCCTCAGGCTAGTGAAATAATCTGGGGACACGCTGAGGGAACATCACACAAACTATTCATGTTCAAACTATACAGGAGAAGTGTGGGTGTTTGCTTACCTCTTCCTACCAATACTGTAACTGAAAAAGATGTGTGACCTGACATTATAACAAGAATTTTTCTGGTCCCCATTCACCCACCCACCCCAAAATCAAGGGAATGCTCATCTAATTGAGGCTTACCACCCACCTGCTCCTCAGATTATTATAATTCCAGCACCAAATTAACACATTTCTCTATTGTTGCACTTCCTATGAGATGCAGCTAGCTGATCAATCAACTGATTATCACTCTAATTCAGTTGTTCGCAACCTTTGATAACCCAGGTATTCTTGGACTGCAATTCCCAGAAACCTTCACCACCAGCTGTGCTGAATGGGGGTTTCTGGGCATTGCAGTCCAAGAACACCGGGGTTACCCAAGGGTAGGAACCCATCCTCTAATTTGTTCTTGCGTGCAATGTGTTGTGTTTCATATGACATTGTTTTAACTTCAGTGTATTCACCAGCAGATGCCTTAAAGTATTTTTATTGGAAAAAGGCACCAAAGACTTATCATAAAGAAGAACCACCCTGTTAGATTAAACCAAGAGTCCAGAACATGTAGGCAATTGCCCCTCTTCCCCAGCAAGAAACTACTACCTCTGAAGCTCTTACCAACCAGCCTAATGGTTTGTTCCAAGCTATAGATAGATATTAGGGATGTGGTGGCACTGCAGGCTAAACCGCAGAAGCCTATGCTGCAGGGTAAGAAGACCAAGCAGTCATAAGATCGAATCCATGCAATGTAGTGAGCGCCCATCGCTTGTCCCAGCTCCCGACAACCTAGCAGTTCGAAAGCATGCAAATGCAAGTAGATAAATAGGGACCGCCTTGGTGGGAAGGTAACAGCGTTCTGTGTCTAAGTCGCACTGGCCATGTGACCACGGAAGATTGTCTTCGGACAAACGCTGGCTCTATGGCTTGGAAACGGGGATGAGCACCGCCCCCTAGAGTCAAACACGACTGGACAAAAATTGTCAAGCGGAACCTTTACCTTTACCTTTACCTATAGATAGATATAGATACAAATAGGTAAAGTAAGCATTCTTTGAGGTACACTACTTGCTACTTAGGTATGTCAAATCTCATTTGCAATGGCCAAGCCTGCTCAAGTCTAGTCTGGAGAAATCATTTTGCAGTCCTTTATAGTTTGAGTTTCAAATATACTGAATAATTTGGTGTCACTGGCAAACCTGACAGCTTCACTGCTGACTCCAGATAATCTACACAAATTAAATAGCACACCTCCAAATAAACCAATATTTTAGGATAATTTTAATTACAAGGCTTGACGGCAGCAACAGCTGCTTCACTAGAAAATGTTTCCATTGGCAGTCCTTCATGATTATCTCAGAAGCATGGAATGCAATTGTATAGATTGTACTGGAACTTGTAGACACGCCACCTCTCAGCTCAGATGAAATACAATTTTAAAAAATCTGTTCATTCAGCAAATACATTTTAATGAAAACATAGTCTTTTCAGAAGATAAATTTACAGCTAAATAATCTAAAATGATACTTTTAAAAGTCTCTCTAAAGAAAAAGAACAATGATGAACTAAGATTCCACAATCAGTTTCCCAGGATAAGTTCAGAATAAAGCAGTTGCAAACATTCATAGCTAAAACAAGATTACAGGAGATTCATAATATGATAAAAATCCTGGGTGCAATTAAACATCACACAATCAGGCTGCTGCTCATACAGTCAGATTATCACCCTTCTCCTATGGCACATTCCCCTGAAATTGGCTCTGGACTTGTTTTTTGGAGGATCTGCTCCCCTTGGCTGCAGAGCTGTACCTTCTCCACTCCATTGACAGAAGCTGTCCCTTCATGCTAGTTGGGTGCTACTCTCAAGGGTCGTATACAGATTAGTCTGCAAAGAGGAAAGCCAAACTAGCAAACAGTATCAGTTCTGGGTGAGAATTGCTAATTATTATTTGGATAAAAAAAAGACAGGAAAAAATAGTCCTTTGCTGTGGTCCTGAGGAAATTTTGGCAGCTGATCTTGCCATTTGCATGGGGAAGAACTCCCCTGTTTTGGACGGAAGCTGGCTCCAACGTACATTTAAAAACACAGATTACTGAAAAGGCATATATATATATATAGATGCTGAAAACAATTACATGGAAATGATAATGTCATTTT